TGTGTGGGGGGGGGGGGGGGGGGGGCACTCAACAGAGGAGATGGGGCCCTGGGATTCACTGACGTGCCCAGGATCACGAGGGATTGGACCCAGCCCACCCCAAAGTCGGTGCCTTAACTCCCAGACCCGCCTCCTTTCCTAGCCTGCCTGATCTTCCCCCAGTCCCGGGAACTGGCCCTGTCCGCACCCTTCCTAGGCCAGGCCAGCTGGCCCAGTTCTATTGACCCTGGTAACAGAGCTATGGCTCAGGGCGAAGGCTGCTCTGGGCACGTCCCTGGACAGCTCTGAGGAGCGGTGGGTTCTATCCCAGGCCTTAACTCCCAGACCCGCCTCCTTTCCTAGCCTGCCTGATCTTCCCCCAGTCCCGGGAACTGGCCCTGTCCGCACCCTTCCTAGGCCAGGCCAGCTGGCCCAGTTCTATTGACCCTGGTAACAGAGCTATGGCTCAGGGCGAAGGCTGCTCTGGGCACGTCCCTGGACAGCTCTGAGGAGCGGTGGGTTCTATCCCAGGTTCTCTGCTCAGTGTCCCCATCCCGCTCCCTCCCTCTGACTGTACCCCGGCCCTGTTTTTTGTTATTTGCCCCCCCCATCAGTCAAGCCCTAGGTCCAGTCACCCTAGGTGGGTTCTTTGTACACGGGGAGGGGGCGTGGCCTGTTGCCCCCCTGGTGATCCGCACCGGAATCAGGCAGGCACGTTGTGCTCCCGGCCCCACGGCTGCGAGCAGCGAGGCTAGGTCTGTGCTGGCAATGTGAGACCCCTGCTTCGCGGCGGCATGTCCAGTGGGCCCTGCAGGGATCTGGGCTCGGCCCTAAGCGCTTCAGCGTTTTACCAGCGCCATGCAGCTGCCGCCCATACGGCTGCAGCTGGCACACAGATTGGGGGAGGACAACAAAAGGGATGAGTCGCTGCTACAGAGCAACCTGGTCAGCTTGTTCCCTGCTGAGAGGGGTCAGCGAAGAGCCGGGGAACGACTCAAGGGTTAGACACCTGCCTTCTAGCCATCAGCTCCAGGAGCCCATCTCTGTAGCTTAACCAACACACGGGGCCAGTGTTTCAAGTGGCCGCTGGCCCCATGGCGCAGGCGGGATTCAGAGCAGTGCTAAGGCGGCGATGGTTAGCCCTGGGGAATTACCCGAGCTGCCGCCGTGGGGCCTGGCGGGTTCTCTGTCCCGAGGCAATGTGGGTTCTCTCAGCGCTCTGCTGTAGTGATTGCTGGGGGCTGCTTCTGGCCTTGGAGTCTGTGCATCTGGGCTGGTGGATTTCACCTGCCCCGCTTGCTGGGTGCTGAGCCCTGGGGGGAGACGGTTCCACCCGGGAGCTGCCTGGCTAGACTCTGCAACCCGCTCTCTTCTCTGGATCCCCCGCCCCAGGCTCCTGGAGGCGCCCGGCTGACAGCGCGTCCCTTTCAAGTCTCTGCTCCGCCAGGTGCGTTTGAAGCCCAGCCGGATGCAGGCGGCGTGGCTGCCAGCTCGTGTCACGGCTGTGACAGGCTTGCGCGCTTCGGGGGACCCGCGGCTGGCTGCTGTGCTGGCGGAGCAGGAACAGAAGTAGGTTGGAGGGGGAGGGGAGGCTCCAGACAAGTTTCCTAGGAAACAAGATGTGACGGCGCGTTGGGGGTTCCCCGTCTCCTGCACCCCGAAATGGCTCAAACAGACTGCACCAGCCAGTGGAATTGAGGGTGGTTTATTGCTCCTCCAGCCCAGCGCAGCACAGATGTAATCTGGTTACAGGAACTGGGGCTAAGAGGCCTCAGTGCCCCCCCCTTGAGATAGGGGAGTCCCAGCCCCCTCCCCAGCTCCTTCTCCCCTGCCTTCCAGCGAGGAACTAACTCAATTCCCTTGCAGCCCTGCCCCCCAGTCAGGGCAGCATTCCACCTTCCTTTGTTCCTCTCCATGGGGGGTGTCTGGCCACTGGTTCAACAAGTTTGGCACTACCTTTGCATAGTGAGGTTTTCCCTGCTGGGCCTTGCTCCAGACAGCAGGGGTCACCACAGCCCAGCAAGTACCCCCCACTACGTCACACAAGACAAGGGGCCTGGACTTGGCCACCCAAGGGGGGCAGCGTGGGGTGCTGGGAGGGGAATTCCCACCAGAGGGAACTCCTGGGATCTCCCCCTACATCTCCTTCCTTCCGGCTGCAGCAGCTTGCGAGGGGCACCCGGACGCGCTCAGGAGCAGAGCCGCACGCTGGGCCAGCCAGCCCGGGGGGAAACGGGGCAGTTTTTTGCACACCGGCTGCACTCAGCGCTGGGGTGGGGGAGGCTGGGGAGGGCAGGTGCAGCCTGGCAGCCACCCTGCGGGCTGTGTCTCTGCGCTGGCTCTGTCCTGCCAGGGGTGGGTGCCGAGAACAGGCCAGCCTCTCATGCCAGGCCTCTGAGCTGCAGCCCTGCAGTGCCCCAGGCACCCTCGTGCTTGGGACACTCCTCTGACCTGGGATCCCAAACCCACCCCGCCAGACTGGCCAAGCCCTTCTCCAGGTCCTTGCCACCTTCTGCCTTGGCAGCTGCAGCCTCCTCTTCTCCCCAAACCTGACCTTCCTGCCCTGCCGCTGCCACCCTGGGCCTTGCCCTTACCTCCTTCCAGCTCAGCTTCCAGCTCCGCACCCTGCCTTCCCCAGCTCTCTGTAGTGTCCTCCCCCCTCCATGCCTCCTCTGACTGCCCGCTGCATGCCCTTCTCTGCCCTGCTCCCCCTGCACTCTGCAGTTAGCTTCCCCCTCCCTCTCATGCCTGGGAACAGCTCCAGACTCCCCTGATGCTGCCTAGCAGCTTCAACTCCTGTGCACTCCTTCCTCCCGCATTGCCTTCCGCTCGCCTCCCCAGGGCCCTCCATGTCTCCTGGGTGCCTGACCCAGCAGGGTCCCTGAAAACACAGGCCATCCGGGGCGCCTGTGTGCTGGGGACCCGTCTCTAGTGCTGAGCCCCATCAGATCCAGCCCCAGATCTCTCAGCGGGAGCCAGACACGTTCCACGTCTCTGAAAATCCAGCTGCTTTTAAGTGTGGCAGCAGTTGCCTACCTGGAGGATCTCAGCTTTGGGCAGGTTGTGGTTTGAGGCAGGCCCCACGCAAAGCGTGGTGGGCTGGGTCCAT